TGGAAAAATGCTCCAAAGCCACAGAATTACACAAAAGAAAGCAATGCTATTGTTGATAGGTCTAAATTCTCTATACAAGAGTCTGCACCTGGGAAGTGTTTAGAGGTCCACAAATCACCAGAGGTTGAAAACTGCTGTTCTAATTCAAAGCAGATTCTCTCACAGACCTTTTCTACCCATTAACGTGGAAATCCTGGCAATGCCTTAACCACCATAAAGGACTTAACCCCATTTTACTGGGCAAGGACTGCGCTGTGCAGCACAGATGGCTCTGTGCAGACAGAACAAAACATCTGTCACCTTCACCTTTTCCTGGTATCAGAAGTGACATCAATGTGATGTCTTCACAGATTCTTGACGGACATGCCCAGCCCTTGCCAGGAGTTTGAGTTTCTTCCTTCAGGTGCTTCTGGTCCCTGTGCCATTCCCAATGGCTGTACACAAGAAGTTGTCAATCACAGGCAGGAAAAGCTGATTTATGTTCTAAGCAACAACAACGAGAGTTAATCACTGCCCTTAATACTGATTTTTGAGTTAATAATGTATTTTAACATACACAATCAAAACAATAATTCAAAAAAATATCACTTCTTTTCCTGAGACTTAAGTAGCTTATCACCCACCTTCAGAGCTGACAGCTCTTGGGTGAGATACAGATTTGTTCAGTTAATGTGAGGACATTTTGAAAACGAAACTTTTCCATGTGCCTCTGCTCAACTCCACTCCTGGACCAGGAAGCACTGAGGTCTAAAGAAGCTGCTCCACTTGCAGGAGACAAGGAACAAACGGCGAGCACAACAGAAGCATTTTGCCCTGGGGTCAGGAACTGCTGTAACAACATCACACTGAGCCACTGCCACAAGTTTCAGCAAGGCTTTGGAGGAAACCGTAACACCATCATTCTCTCAACAACACAAAATGTTACAAAAGCCCCAAGGTCTGGGAGCTGCCCCTCACCTCAGAAGTCACCACCAAGCAAACACAAAGCGGAGGGGCACAGGGACTCTCAAAGCCCATCGTGTGCCAATGGCTGCTCCCCTCCCGCAGCAGCAGGATGCACCAGGTTCACCACATCTTGTACAGACCAGAACCAAAATGCTGAGTGAAGTCTGTGCTCCTCTGGCAACAGCCCTACACTAAAGGCTTGACCAAGGGATGACTAATTATTTATGACTGTGGAAAGCATATTAGCCAGGACATGGTTTGAATGAAGTCTCTTTTACCCAAGCTTGAACTTTTCATTTAAATTTTGAAAATAGAAGTGACAGAGGTTTTTGACATTTTATTCCACAAAACCACACCTTTGAGACTGTCCAAAACACACCCCAGGTCTTGCTGTTTGCAGAGACCCGCATGGCCCCCTAAGGACAGCAAAGGCATCGATCACACACATTCCACACCGCGCTGCTTACCAAGAAACCACGTTATTTTTGGTAACATCACATGAACAAACAGAACCTAATCAGAAGTAGTCGATTAGAGAACAAATACAAGCGAAACAAAACGAGCCACCGCTGCCAAATGCTGGGATAAATGCTCCCAGGAGCCAGCGCTCAGCCCACAGAGACGCACACGGCTGTCACCTGGCCCTGCAGCACAGCAGCCATCAGCACACCACAAATGGGGCACGCTGTGCTATCACAGCCCGACAGCCTAAGGCATTCAGGAACTCAAGATGTACGGTTAACCTGCAACGGAGCCTAAGACAGTGCCCAAACCATGGAAACCTCCATGTTCTTCTGGATGCCCACCATGGTTGAATCCCTTTGCGAATAAGTTTAGCTCTGCACAAAGCACGGAGGCACTTCTAAACGACAGGAGTCACTCCAAAGCCAGGGGCCCAGCAGGCTTCACAGCCTCGTGAGGTCCAGCTCTGCACTTCTAGGAAACAACATCACGCCAGCAGCACGAGCCTCAGCAGTGAGGGTTCTAGGAAAGAGCACAGGCACAGGACAGCGCCTTCAGAATCGTTCGCAGAAGGGTTCCTTTAGCTCTAGCCTGCCAATAAACGGAGAGCCACAGTAACCCACACACAGCAGGACAGACACTTTGTAACAGGAGCACAACTCCGTGGCTACAGAATGCAATAGAACTCTTCAGCACATTAGGGATTAATCCCAGGCTTAAAGAGATCACTTCTCTGGCCCTTCGTTTTTTAAGCACCCTGAGCATGCTACGCACCGTATGGTTCTGGTGAACCAAACCCCCGCAGCCCCATGTGCATGGGCTCCTGCACACGAAAGCACACACAAGGCTGCACACTGCGCAGCACACGAGCAATACCTCAGTTTCAAGCGCTTTATACCACGAACTAAGCAGATCCAACATACTTTGTGGGCAGCAATTAAAAAGCAACGAGCTGGCAAAGCAAAAGGTAATTAGGTACAACACTTACGTTTGTAAAAAAGCAAAACTTCAACGTGAGAATTACAGCAGGAGCAAACCCACCTCTCCGACACCGCAGCACTGGAGCTCTGGCAGCAGGGCACAGCCCAGGGACAGCCTTGGGCCCCAGCACCCACCCGACTGCAAAACACCACCGCGGGACAACCTGCAAGGCCAGGAAACTGCTGAAGACAGGCTCGCGTCAAGCTGATAACCGAAAAATGTACAAAGCGTCCATCCATTGCAGTGCAAATGGCCACGATCCAACAGCACCACGGAGGAGCCATCAGCTGCCCCCAGTCGCCCCATTGTCACTTCGGGAGCAGGAACAATGGCCCAACAACGGCTGCTGTCATTTGTCCCAAAACCCGGCGCTTGGCTTTGAGTTTCAGCAAACCTTAACCAAGATTAAGGCGGCTGTTAAGATAACTTCGGAATATGCGCATCCCTCTTAACACCTGAATGCTACCCGGGCCGGGCGTGCCAAGCGCTATTAACAGCCCCCTGCAACACAATGCCCGCCTGCCCACCCGGGATGCGACCCACAAAGACCGAGCCAAGTGCCGTCCCGTCTGCGGGAAGCACCCTTGGCACTTGGGAAATCGGCCTCTTCAGAGTTCCCAACGACCCCGCGAATCCTGAAAGCTTGCAGCAGTCCGACAGGCTGTGTTTGCATGCTGTCCTGCTGGCAAAGCTGAAGGGGCTGTGCGTTTGGGAACAGCGGTTCTGACCAAGACCTGCTGCAAAGCGAAGGAGAGCGTGGGTAAATGGGGTTATCGGAGCGGCCCCGCTACGACAGGCTGCCCTAAAAATAGCGGTGTAGAGCTCCTGGGTTTTGTTTCGTTGATAGGTTTGTTTGGGTGGTTCTGGTACGTTGTAGGAGGCTCTCACAGAAAGATGGCTCGAGTCACCCAAACCAAAGGGGACAGGAATTAAATGCCTGAACGAATAGAGCATCTGAGGGCAAGCCTGGCTATCCCTATAGCGACGGTATCGCATTCAAAATAAAAAATGTCCACTCTGTCTCAATGGTAACCTGGCACAGGCAAAAAGCTCTCCCACCCCACAAACAGCAGTGCTCAAATGAATGACATCTCTGACAACCTGCTCTCAACCTGCTCTTACCAGAGGGAAGATAAAGAGGAAGGATCTCAAGATGCCAACAACAACAAAAAAGTTTTTAACAGTTCTGTGAGGTTAACGGCACACCAGGGCATGCAGGACGGCAGCTTGACTGAAAGTCAGCCCTTCATTCCAGGCCCAAATAACGGGGTCCATCACGAAGCATTCTCACCATTCAGGCTGCAGCGCCGCAGTGCACGCAGCAAAGCCACCGATAGTAGAAGCAAAGCGTTGTGGAAGTACCTCTGCTCGAGTCTGTTTACAACGTGAGACCCTCCCACAACCGCATCACTGAGCACATGTCTGAGAGATCCCCGCTCCACTCAACAAAGCTACGCACCGACCTCAGCCTGACAGCAGCCTCTGCCTCAGAGCACCGGGTCTGAGCTCTGCACACAACAGCGCTGCTCCCAAAGGCACACACCGTGGGGTCATGCCCTGCAGTGCCCCAAAGCAACTCCCGCAGCAAAAACACAACAGGTTCCCCAGTGAACGGGGGTGAAAGCATCCCCACAGATACTGCAGTAGCATCTGTCTGGCAGCAGTGGCCACGCTGAAATGAGAGTGAAACGGTTGCAGGGTCAGTGCTGTCACATGGGTTACATTCCAGACCCGACATCGAATCATACCTCAAACCTGGAGCAAAACAAGCTGAAATCAACAAAATCGCATTTAAAAACAAAGCACTCGAGGAAAACACCGAAGATCTCTAAGAACTGCTGCATAACGGATGTATGTGCCTATAAATAACTCCGGGAGCTCAGCTGAGGAATGCTGAAACCCATCCCAAAGTTTTACTCGTGTTCAAAAATGAGCTCTGTATACGTCATGTGCACCCAACTGCTGTCAGAACTCGGAGCTGCAGCACTTCTGCTCGTTCAGCACGTCTGGAAAGAACCTGATGGAATGCGAGCAACACTGAGAAAGAGATTAAAAGAAGAGTAACGGGGGGTGCCCGGGTGTGGTGGGGAAACGTGGGGGGACAGCCCTGCAGATCACGACCTCACACCCAAACAAAGCTCTGACAATCCAGGCGCTAAGAGATGAGGTCCCCTCTGACCCATCAGCTGCCCGACAACACGCTGAGCGGAGTGGTGGAAGAAAAAAAAAAAAAAAAGGAAAAAAAACCCCAGCAAACTGATTTTGCAGCAGTGACGGCAACGATGCCTACGTTAGGAAAAAATAATAATAAAACGACTACGGCGAGATCTCCGTGCGATAAAGGCACGGCCCGCCCGGCGGTGACAGCTGCGTTCGCACCGCGCACGTGAAGGCAGACGGACGGACGGACGGGGCCGCGGCCCGGCACAGCGGCTCCCAACGGCGGCAGCGCTGGTGTCAAATCTGTCCCTCGGCAAGATGGCTGCCAGCAGGCCGCCGCGATGTCAGCTGCCAGCCGCGGCCCGGCCGGGCCCGCAAGATGGAGCCGCGCCGCTCCCCCCGCCCGGTGCGGCCGGCCGTCCCCCCGCTCTCCCCGCCCCGGCGCCGCTTACGAGCTGCAGCGCGGCGCTGCCGGAGGGCTCCGCGCTCTCCCCGGGGCCGCCGTCCGACCCGGGCAGCTCCGCCGGCTGCAGGCGCGGCGGCTCCGGGCTGCCGGCCCCGCGGCTCCGCTCGGGCTCCTCGTCGTCGTCGTCGTCGTCGTCCTCCTCGTCGTCGTCGTCCTCCTCCTCCTCCTCCTCCGGCGTCTCGTTGCCCTCCTCCTCTTCCTCCTCCTCTTCCTCCTCCTCCTCGTCCTCGTCCCCTCCGTCCCGCAGCAGCAGCGGGAAGCCCAGCGCGGCGGGCTGCGGGCCGGCTCCGCCCGGCGGCTCCTGCGGCGCGGGGGCGCGGGGGGGCGGCGAGCCGGGGTCGGGCAGGGCCTCAGCGCCGTCGGCGGGGCCGCCGAGGTACTCGGCGCTGATCATGGAGGCCAGGTCCTGCAGCCGGCGCAGCGGGATGTAGCAGGAGGACGGGTCCTGCCCGAAGCCGGGCTTGGCGGCCGCCAGCTGCATGGCGGGCGGCTCGGGGCCGCGGGGCTCGCCGAACGGACCGCCCTTGTGCTCGGCGGCCGGCAGCGAGGTGCCGAACGGGACGAGGCAGCTGCGGCGGCTCACTTCGCAGGCCTGCTCCATGCCGGGCGGCGGGCATCCACCTGCGGGCGACAGCACAATGGGGTCAGCCCGGCCGCCCGCGACAAAATGGCAGCCGCGCCCCGGGGCCCGCTCCGCTCCGCGGCCCCGCGCGGGCGAGAGGGAGGGAGGGCGAGAGGGAGGGAGGAATGGAGGCGGCCGCCGCGCCGCTAGGCCCGGGCCGCGGCCCCTCCGCCCGGCCTCGCTCCGCTCCTCGGCTCCGCTCCGGCTCCGCTCGCGCGGCCCGCTCGGCGAGAGGCGGCGCCCGCCGGGCAGCGCTCACCTGCGGCCGCCGCGGCCGGCTCGCCGCCGCCTGCCCCCGCTGCGGCCCGAGAGGGAGACGCGCCGACCCGGCCCGGCCAGGCCCCGCCAGCGCTCCTCCGCCGCCTCCCTCCTCCCTCCCCCGCATGCGCGCGCCCGACGCCGCCGCCATCCCGCCGGGCGCGCGCCCCCCGCGCCTGCGCGCGCGCCCCCGCGCCCGCTCTTGGGGTTCGGCGGCGGCCAAT